TCCCCAGCCTCCGGTCCCTACAGGGGCCTCCACTGCTGACGTGGTGCTGCGTTGGGGTGTGCTTCCTGCCACACTTGACGTGCTCCATCCGCCCTTCTGGTTTAGCCCTGGTTTCTCTGGGCCTCAGTTTCCCACGTGTAAAATGGTCTGACGTTGTTGCTGGCGCTGGCCACAGTAGCCCGAGGCCCTGGTAATGGAGCCCAGAGCCCCTGGATTCAAGATCTGGTTGAAAGACCCTATAGCCACCCAGGCGCCACGGTCTGAGGGCTCACTCCTTAAACGGGGAACCCTGACATGTCCCCCAGGTGCAGCCCGCAGGCCTGGAGTCTGTCCCTTCACGTGCCCCTGATCTCTTTGCTACCATGACCCATGACCACCATGCAGGTCTAGACTGCCTTTCCTTCTAAGTGCAGCCATGAACCGGAAGATAGTGGGGTTGAACTTGGGGCAGGACCTCAGCATTTGGTGAGTCCAGCCTGCTCAGGGCCGGTTGACAAAACTGAGTCCCAGCGAGAGGAGGCTGTGGCCGTAGGTCACCCCACGAGCCAGTGGCGCCACGGGGCATGCCTGCGGCGTCGCTGTGTCTTAGCCAGAGTTCCTTCTGGGTGCCCTGCTGCCTGAGGCTGCTGGCTGCCCAGCTCGCCCTGGTGAGAGAAGCCGCTCGTCCTCCTGAGACACGAATGGCGTGGTGCCCCTGGCGGTGAGTGAGAACTGCACGATGCCCAGATGGCCTGAGCCTCAGGGACGAAGGGGCCATGGGTGGGTGCAGAAGGCGGGGGGTGGGGGGAGGGGCGTGATCTGGGGAGAATGCATTGGCCGGCCAGCTCTTTTTGGGAATTAGCTCCTTCGTTCGGTGCCACCTTTAAAATAAGCAGCGGTTGTTTGTACACCTGGAGACAAGAGGGGAATAAGAAGGATAGACCCATTTCTTAGACCATCCCGATCTCTTCGCATGACACCCACCTTTTAGAGGGAGTGGAGCCCTTCCGCAGGGCTCTCAGAGCCTGTCCCAGGAGCCTCATTTTCTTCAGTTTCACCAGAAAAATAATGACAGTGGTGATGGATGTTGATATTCTTGCTCTTCAAGACCCACTGGAAGCCCACACTTACCCATCCACAGCTAAGAGCAGAGGTTCCTGAATGGTCGAAGTTGGAGTGACCATCACATTTTCGGGTCCCATAGGCTTGAGGTGCAGAGGGGAAGGGACTGGCTCAGGACCGTGCCTGTCCTCGCTGTACCCTCTCTGTCCTTCTCATTTCGGGTTTCCAGGGTCCATAAACTACCAGGGGTGGGCAGCTTGTGGGAGCCGCGGTGACCTCCCAGGCCCTCTCTGGCGCCAGCTGCCCGTGGCATTCTCATCAGAGGCATTAACCTCCTCTCGTTCTCAAGGTCATTGCCTGCCTATTTATAAAACTGACCAAGAGAATTCCACTACTGCCAGCAATACAGAATACAAATCATGCTCTACGAGTTGGCTTCATTCTCTCCCCCACCTTCTTTTAACTCCTTAGACCAGTGGTTCTCAACCTTCCTAATGCCGCGACCCTTTAATACAGTTCCTCATGTTGTGACCCCCAACCATAAAGTTATTTTCGTTGCTACTTCATAACTGTAATTTTGCTACTGTTATGAATCGTCATGTAAATATCTGATATGCAGGATATGTTTTCATTGTTACAAATTGAACATAATGAAAGCATAGTGATTAATCACAAAACCAATATGTAATTATATATGTGTTTTCCGATGGTCTTAGGCGACCCCTGTGAAAGGGCCGTTCGACCCCCAAAGGGGTCACAACCCACAGGTTGAGAACCGCTGCCTTAGACAAAGCTTTTCTACACCCAGTTTCTCTTCCAATGCAGACATGCCAGGGAAGAGAGGGGAGTGGGCTGTGCCTCTTGCTGAGCTCCTACTGTGTGCACAGCCTCTGGACCTCTCCCACATGGTCTTGTTTAACCACACGACCCCGAGAAGTGGGTGTTGTCCTCCTTTCACGTGTGCTGCTTTGAGAGAGGGGGGTGGCTGGCACTAGGACTCTATACTAACAGGTGACAGAAGCCATTCCATCCAGTTACGCCGGAATCACCTGTGTTCTCTCCACCTACATGCCTCTAATTCTAGCGCAGCCTTCCAGATCAAACGCGTAGCTGCGGGGTGATGCCTGTGGATGTTGGGGTTACTTTTGGGATCATATATGTACTTTCTCACCCCATCAGGCCAACCAGGCTTTTATGAGCACCTACTGTGAGCACCAGGGGAAGCCTTGTCTCTCACCAGGCATTAAATGCCATGAGCATCTGCCCACTTTGTTCTCTCCCAGCCTGGCACACAGTAGGCCCTCCGTCAGCGCTCATCGAATGAATGATGAGGCTCAGACTCTACCCAGGAAAGAAGCAGAGAAGAGGTAGGCCAGTGGGAACTGCACTGAGCAGCCAGCAGTGCCCTCACGGAGGAGGGAGCAGTGGGCAGGGAGGAGGGGCAGGAAGACTGTGCGGAGGCTCGATGGCCTCGGAGGTTTCTGCTGAGGCTCCATGTGCCCTGAGACCCGCCTCCCTCTTTGCTCCAGCAGAAGCCCACTTGGTCTCCCACTTCCTCCATCCTGCATCTCAAACTTTAACAGGTTTTTATTTTCCCAGCAGTCTGTACAGGAGCCCGGGGAATGATAAAAGACCACTGTAGATCTTCCCCTGCTCATCTCCTCAGAAATCCTTCGGTAAAAGCAGAATTTTCCCTCTCCTTCTCCCTCTCCCGGGGAGTAGCATTTAGCTGTGGGAACGAGGGACCCGGTGCCTCCCTGCTCACGTCAGGACAGAGTGTCCTCGGGCAGGTCCTGGTCCGCCAGGGCTCCCCACTGCCCTTGACAGCCCTGCCCGTGGCTGCATTTGGCCGCCAAGAGTATTGGGGAGTCAGAATAATGTATGCTCTGGATTCGGGCAAGCGGGGAGGACCAGACAGCAAAGTACTGCCCTCCCCCTTTGAGACATAGTGTTGCTCTCTGGAAGCAACATACCCTCCTTCTGGAGCAGTTGGAAAATGCTGAGAAACGGGAAGAACAGAATAACAGGCCCCCGGAGAGCAGCACCGCGGGCATCTCGGCCCATGGCTCCTCTGTTTGGCTTTATTTTTCCCCCTGTGGGATTTTTCCTTTACCAGAACTGAGGTCGTTCCGTGAGGTTTGACTTACGTCCTTCTGACCCCACTTAACGTTGAACTAGGTCCCATATCCTTGGCATCACAAAGTTTTGTAATGGTTTTAAAATGTGACTTTAGCGGCAGTATGAACTGTCACGTGTGTATGGACCATCCTTGACTCAAATGGTCCCCAGTTCCGGGGGGTGTTTGCTGTTGATCCCGGTGCTGAAGGCCCTTTTCTGGGGGGAAACCCACTTCGTTTCAGGTTCATTACGAGGAAGCGGCATGGCCGATCGCAGCTTCCACCCAGGGCGCAGGGCCTGGCTTCCCTCCCTCTCCCTGTGGTTGGTCTGTCTCCAGACTGGAGCATATAGAATGAAGGTGCTGTCTACCCTCAAGATTAGTTGCTCTGGATAGGAACCCCTTATTTTTTTTTTTTTATTTTTTTTTAAACATATTTTATTGATTTTTTACAGAGAGGAAGGGAGAGAGATAGAGAGTTAGAAACATCGATGAGAGAGAATCATCGATCAGCTGCCTCCTGCACATCTCCCACTGGGGATGTGCCCGCAACCCAGGTACATGCCCTTGACCGGAATCGAACCTGGGACCTCTCAGTCCGCAGGCCGACGCTCTATCCACTGAGCCAAACCGGTTTCGGCAAGGAACCCCTTATTAGCTGTGTGGACAGACGATGTCCCTCTAATTATTCACCAGAATTATGGGACCCCCTTCCCCACAAGATGGGATTCCGTGAGGAGTTCAGGAGACGAGGCCTGCGGGGGCAGACCGCCTGACAGGCACAGGCCCTTTGCAGACGTTCCGCTATCGCTATTATCAGTGTTTTTCTCTCTTGACTGTCTTGTCTGGTATTGTATCGGGGTCGCTGAGACCACCCCGAGTTCTGTGACACTAGAAGGGCTCGCAGGTTCAGCCTACAGTTGTCCTCGGGGCGAAGATTTGTCCGTGGCAAGGACGCACAGCAAAATGAGCGCAGGGAGCAGGGGCGTGCAGAGGCTGCACTGAGGTACCCCCCCCCCCCCCCCCCTGCCCATGCGCTGTCCCACAGGGCGAGCTTCCTTCCCCAGCACTGAACTGTGCCACAGGGATGAGATGCTGTCTGCCAGGGAGACTCAGCGCCAAGGGTTTGGGGTTTTTTGTTTGTTTTGTTTGTTTGTTTGTTAATCCTCACCCCAGGATATTTTTTCCATTGATTTTTAGAGAAAGTGGAAGGGAGGGGGAGAGACAGAGAGAGAAACATTGGTGTGAGAGAAACACATTGATTGGTTGCCTCCACACACGCCCTGACCTGGGCTGAGGATCAAGCCTGCAACCGAGGTATTGAACCCGGGACCTGTCAGTCCACGGGCCGACACTCTATCCATGGAGCCAAACTGGCTAGGGCAGTGCCAAGGGTTTTTTGGGGGGCTGGTCACATAGGTACCCTCTGCCTGTACCCACATTCCAGATCTCCGGAGGGAAAGCAAGTGGTCAGCATGAACCTCATGGTTTGCACAGGTAGGCTGGGCACAGCGAGCCCTTGTCAGGTCAGGAACGGTGGGAACACTCCGGATGTAAGCTCCCAGGTGCCGGCCAGGCAGGCCTCCCTGTGGGTGCCAGCCCACGCCTGCTCTGTTATGCTGAGACCATCTCTCTTGTGTTTGAACCACTTCAAGATAAGGGTGGGACAGATGTCCTGGTTTCCATAGGATAGAACCGAGGCCTGGAAAAGGAAAGGCATTTAGGGACTGGCCTTCTCCTCCGTGAATGGGTCCCGAGAGGAAGCAAGTGCTGGGGAATGGGCGGCCGTCCCTCACTGCCCCTTCCTGCTAACGCTGCATCCCTCTCTCTCCCCTCTCTCTAGGCGCTCAAGGGCTCCAAGAAGCTGGTGATGTCGGTGTACTCGGCGGGGCGCATCCCCGGGGGCTACGTCACCAACCACATCTACACCTGGGTGGACCCGCAGGGCCGCAGCATCTCCCCGCCCGCCAGCCTGCCCCGGCCCCACGGCGGTGCCCTGCGGCCGCGCGAGGGGGACCGGAGGAGCGCCCTGCACCTGCTGCAAGGCGGGGATGAGAAAAAGGTGAGCCGCCCCCCTGGCCCGGGCAGGCCGACCTGAGGCGGGGGCTGCGAGGGAGGCTGGCCCCTGAGACCGTGCTTACGGCTAAGCCCAGAACAGGGAAGCTTTTCAGAGGCTGGAAGGAGGGCTTGGTCCTGTCGGGCTTCTGTTCTTTCTTTTTGGCCCGTGCAGGCTGTTACAATGCAGACCAAGGTGCTGCAGCCAAGAGCCTGTGACTTAAATAAGGTCAGGTATCTCTCCTTGTCACAGCGAAGCGGAGGGGACAGTGTGGGCTGGCGGGCAGCTCTGTCCCCCATCTTATTCTGGCGCCCGGTTCCCTCCACTGCCATCCTGTCTAGGACGAAGCTCAGAGCTCCCCTTTAAACTAGAAATGACTTGACTGCTCAGCAGCTCTGACCCTGGCGCTTAGCCGCGCTTGCTGCCAGGACTGCGTGCTCCAGAGGGAAGCGGTGGTGGGGCCGGTCTGGGTTGTAAGGAACAGAAACTGGTCCTGGCAACCTCCACAGAGTAAGAGCTCGCTGGCAGGCGTGGCAGGCCCAGAACTGAAGCTGAGGAACTGGGGTGCCGCCTCCAGAAGAAAGGGATCTCCTCCCGTTCAGGTCTCTGCCTCCTTCCCCTCAACGGTCATACTCCAGGGAGGTGCACCGATTGGCTGGTGGGGAGGGCTGGGCAGTTTGATTGACAGAACCACCAAGACGGTCGCTGGTGGGGGAGGGGTTGTCCAAAGCCCCGTGGGATGTGGGAACCTGAGGGAGAGGGACAGGGGCATCAACAGACGCCCCCTACAGAGCCCGCCTCTCCCCTTAAAATATTGTGGAAAGGACTGAGAGATGGCCCCCGTGATGCTTTAAACTTCACTCTGGGGGCTGTTTGCACCCAACCCCCCCCCCCCGCCCCCCCAGTCGCTCCTGGGACGAGGAATGTCATACCTGCAAGCAGCTCTCTGGTCCTCCAGCACTTTGACTCCGGCAGCTTGGAGGCCACAGAGCCCCCCTCCGGAGACATTCTCAGCTTTCCTTTCCTGTCGATAAGACTGTAACATTTATTTAATGTTTTGTGTCTTTGTGCTCAAACATCGATCTGCAGGCGAGACAGAGATGGCAGCCGCCTCTGTGCCAGGCGAGAGGCAGTGGGTAGCCAGCTGGTAGGCACCCCTGGATCCGCCTGGGCTTCTTCCGAGGAGGCAGGGCTGGGTGGGGGTCGGCCCCCGTGTCCCCTCCCCCGGCGACCTTGCTCTCTGGCCGTCTTGAGAAAGCAGCAGTACCTGTGGCCTTGACTCATTTCCAAGTCCGGCTTTCCAGGGTTAGGCAGAGAACTTGCTTTATCCTTTTCTCCGGCCCCGTCCCTCGGGGCAGGACATAATCTTAGGGTAGGAATTCTCGCTGGTGGAGAGCTGGCTGGGTGCTGGGCTCTGTCCTTACAGCATCTTATTGAATCCGCAGACCGCCCTGCAGGGCAGGTGTCCTTATCCGAATTTTACACATGAGGGGTCAGAGATTCAGCAACTAGGACCCATGCAGCGAGGCCCCCTGTTCTTAGTGAGCTCCTGGTGTGCCTGAGGCTGCTGTGGGAAGTGGGAGACGAGGTCCTGGGAGGAGTGAGACAGTAATCCAAAAACAGACATAAGTTAGCAAGAGCATTAAAGTGGTGAAGACAGATGGAAGAAGTAAAATCAGGAGAAGGGGATAGAGAGTGATGGGGAGGGAGGCACTACTCCGGATGAGGTGGTCAGGTAGGGCCTCTCCGAGGAGATGGTTCCTGAGTGAGACTGAGAGAGGAAGAAAAAGCCACCATGTGCCGTCTGGGGGCTGAAAATCCCAGGCAGCAAGGACTGCGCGTGCAAAGGCCCTGAGGTGGCATCTCGAGGCTTGGCGAGAAGGACCCTGTCCCTGGAAGTGAGTGGATGGGAGGGTTGGGAGGAGAGAAGGTGACCTCTGGGCGTCTAGGAGTGACTTCCATAGGAATGCAGAAGACAGAGGCTGAGAGAACTGTGCTCCCCGGAGGCCCACTACTTCAGAAGGCAGCAGAGACCCTAGACCAGTGGTCGCCAACCGGTGATCCATGAGGTCTGAAAGGTTGGCGACTGCTGCCCTAGACCACCCCAAGGAGGCCTTCACAGACCTCAGAGCTCCCGACGGCAGCTTCTGCCCTGTCCTCTAGTCTCCTCTCGCTGATACAACGTGGAAACCCCCACATCCTTGTTGAGAAGGGCCCTGGGGACATGTCTCTGGAGCCCTCACTCTGGCTCCTGGGCCTGACTCTTCTGTCCAGTGGCCTGGTCACATTCTAATATTCTAAATAGCCGTGACCAGACTCCCGGATGGACTTCCCACCCAGCCCCAGTGGGGAGTGCTCAGGGCAATCGTGATATAAAAATCACACGTGGAACAAAAGTGCCTTTGAAAACTCTCTCCGCTGCCCTCTGAAGTTGGATCTGTTTTTTCAGCCCTTCCAGCGATGCTCTCGCCCACACTGGAGTGTGAGCACCATCGTGAGGCGGCAGGGAGGCACAGGGAGGAAGAACTTGCGGAGCTCTCTGCAAGTCAGACCTCTCTGCTCTCGGGACACTGTCACACCCTCAGAGGCCAAGCGGGGCTCCTTGTTCCAGCGTCCCATTCTGGGCTAACCCTCAGCCTCTACAGCTGCAGTAAACAAGGACAGGATTGCTGCTGGGGGTTAAACAGGCTAGTGTCCACGTGGCAGAAAGGATAAGACTCTGGAGCCAGGCTGCCTGGGTTCAAATCCTGCCTCCCCCACTTACCAGCTGGTTGACCTTGTACAAGTGACACAACCTCTCTGGGCTTCAATCTCTCCTCTGTAAAATGAAGACAATAACAGGGCCTACTCTCCCCACTACTGGGTCAGCTCCGTGGTGGTAAGGATCTCGGTTCTGTGCCCTGGTAGTGCCTTGCACAGCACAGGCTCTCAGAAAGTATGGAGTGAGTGAATGAATGAAGACGAAAACACCTTGGCAACTGGCCAGTACATGCTAGAAGCTCAGGGAACATTTGCTGGGTTTGAATATAAGTCCTGTTTGATTAAACCCTTGTGCACACTCTTCTTTGCAGAGTTAACCAGTTAACTGCCACGATATTTTGAATTTAATTTTAAAAGGTCCACGGCTGGCGTCTATAGACGCTTATGACGTACAAATGGTTAACAGAGGATATAACTTGGTGGTTCTCATGACTCCCTCCTTGGGTTCCGTTAATTTGCTAGAGCAACTCACAGAGCTCAGGAAAGCAGTTTGCCTACTGTTTCCCAGTTTGTTGTAAAAGGACTGGATACAGGATACAGATGGACATCCAGATGGAAGAGAGGTGTGGGGAGGGACGCAGAGCTCTGGTGCTCTCTCCAGATGTGCCTTTCTCTCCAGATGTGCCTCTCTCCCTTTGCGTTCACATGGTCACCCGCCCAGAAGTTCCCCGCACCCTTACCATTGGGACTTCCTCACCTAGGCCCGATCGGTTAACTCCTCTCCCAGCCCCTCTCCCTTTCTGGAGAATGGGGGTGGGAGGTGAAAATTCCAGGCTCCTCATCATGGTTTGGCCTTTCTGGTGTCCAGGCCCCAGGTGTGCAGGAGCCATCCAGGAACCCACCCAGAGACACCTCATTAGAACAAAAGATGCTCCTACTGCTCTTACCACTTAGGAGTTTACACGGGTTTCAGGAGCTCAGTGCTAGGAATGGGGTTGAGGACCAAATATACATATTTCTTGTTATAAATCACAGTATCAACCTGGTTTTAGAACTTCCTGACCGTGTGGCCTTGAGAGCGTCCCTTGACCTTGGGTGAGCCACTGAGGCTTCCGGCTCCTGGATTTGGGGATGGTCACGGCAGCCATGTGGGCTGTTTCCAGGGTCACTGGTCGTGTGTGTAAGCACAGAGCACAGTGTCTGGGACAGAGTCATTCATTCCAGGGACAACCATGGCTCATCGAATGCCAACGAGGCGCTAGGTACCTTTCATGTATTTTTGCCCCCAAATGCTTATTGACGTCATCTCCTGGGGTTGCTCATATTGCTTCCTGGGCAGGGTCGGGGTTCTAGGCAAGGCAGGAGGGGGGATGGCGGTGCCTGCTCCGTGTAGGTTGTGTGCGAGGATTTCACTGGTGGGGAAACTGAAGGTCAGAGACGTGATGGGCCTTGCCCCACGGTTGCCCAGGGGTAAAGGGCAGAAGCAGGATTTGAACTCAGGCCTTCAGGAGTCAGTGTGGTGCTCCACGTAAATGCCTGGCCTCTGCCAGCTGTTGGCTGTGACTGTGGCCACATCCTTTCATCCTCCAGCCTCAGTTTTCTCATCTGGAAAATGGGGATAAGAATAAAGTCGTAGAGGAGGAGAGGGGATGAAATGAGGTAATTAATGCATGTGAAGTGCCTGGGATTTAGGAAATACATCTAGTCCCCAGCTAATCTAGTGAGTTATTATTACTACATGCCTATTATTGGTGGGTGTGGCCTTCTTTTCATGGAGCCAGGCTGCCTCTCCTGACTGTCCTTTCCCATCTGTGAAACACCAGCTGAATTTCCAGCAAGTGATTGAGGCCGATTACTGTGTGGTTGATGGGACTGTTATTACAGTTCCGTAATAAAGACTCTGTTTTATTCCCTGTGAAGGATTTATGGGGAGGTGGCGGGAAGGCGGGAGGTTTGTTTCCCTCCTTAGTATTCAGAGGGCGACTCCTGCCATCTGTGTGTTCCTGGGCTCCTCTGGGCTCTCCCCAGAATCTTTGTGTCCTGGAGCTGGAGGGACCAGGTGGGGCGCGGGGGGGCCCGGGGGGGGGGTCGGGAGAACAGACCCCAGGTCACCCAGTGAGCAGGGCTGAGTTCGGCTGGTTCCAGGCCTAAAGGCACAATATGGAAGAGGGGGTTTGCTCTACCTGCCATCTGTGGGTTCCTGGTGGGGACTACCCACTCTGTGCTCAGCTCGCCTCACTGGTCTGAGTCCTGCCTCTCCCCTCTCGCCTGGGGGCCCTCCCCAGTAGTCTTTCTAAAATCCCAGTCTGAGCCTCTCTCCCCTGCTTAAGGCCCAGGCGTGGCCTCGCTCACAACCCTGCACATAGGCTAGTCTTGTTTCTCTCTCTCCCTCCCTGCCGAGCTCCATACAAACAGAATCCTGCATGACCCCAGGGGCTGTGCACTATCCAGATTCGAGATTGGGAGCTTTTGCCCTCCCCTTGCCCTGCCCCCTCAGCCTTCGGGATTCCAAGGCCATCTTTCCAGGAGGCTCCCCCGCCCATCTCATCAGAGACATCCCTTTCTCCAGGACGTCTCCCTGACCACCTCACTCCCCAGTCAGGACCATGGTCCCTTCTCTGCACCCACACGGTCCCCGAGCCACCCCCCACGCTCTGGCCACATTGTTTCCTGGTCCCGCTGCCCCTCCAGACTGAGACCCTTGCGAGCAGGACTGTCTGGGGCATCTGTGGGTCCCCTGGCCCACACTGGGTCTGGGCGCCCCCTGTGTTTGTAGAATTAAGGGCTACTGAAGCAGCACCCTGTGCTGTTAGGATGGATGGCAGAGGCAGAAGGCCCTGGGGAGGCAGGAGACCCTGGGGTTGTGGCACCCCAAGCCTGGACTCAGCCTTGATCCTGAAAAGGGACCTGGGGGAGGAGGGGACCCGGGGCCCGAGCAGACCCTCCCTGATGGAAGGATGTGGTTAAGGGCAGCCAGTGGAGGCAGAGAGAGTCCGTGGCCCGTGGTGTGAAGAAGGAGTGACACCAAGAGTGCTGAGGAGCTCTAGGATGGGCATCAGGGCATCCCTAGAGGTCATCTCCCTCAGCGCCTCCCTTTCCTGCTCATGTGACTGCAGCCCAGGGGAGAGGGGCTTCCCCAGGTCACTCAGCAAGTCGAGGCAGAGCTGGGGCAGAAGCTGCCATGTCCATGGGGATCTTGCAGACCTGAATCCATGTGCCCCTCAGGGACTGGGAGTGACTGCAGCCTGCTGGCCCCCGAAGTTCATGGCCCTCAATGCTGTGTCCTGTCCCTGCTGCAGGTGAACCTGGTGCTGGGGGACGGCCGGTCCCTGGGCCTCACCATCCGCGGGGGAGCAGAGTACGGCCTCGGCATCTACGTCACCGGCGTGGACCAGGGCTCTGAAGCAGAAAGCAGCGGGCTCAAGGTGAGGGGCCCCCCACTCCCGCGGGAGGGGATGGGGTGCGGGGCTGCAGGCATGGGGGTGAGAGGGACCACCAGAGCCATGCGGGGAGCTCTCGGAGGCTGATTGTGGTCAGACTTCCAGCAGCGCATTCAGCATCCACCTTAGGGACTGGCCCCAGCAGGAGCCCTTGCCCGGCTGCATGCCTCCCATTCACAGCTCAGAGCGAGCAGCAGGAGCTGTGTCCCATCTCCCATGCCCCGAGTTTCCCGCTGTCCTCAGCGCAGGGTGCCTCCCACGTGGTGCTGGGCACCGGGCCAGCCAGGTTCTTCCTGGCTGCTGTTTTGCAAGCACTGCTGATGGACTGCGATGGCCCTGACTTCAGAGTTCATTATGGTGCTTGGAGAGGGAAGAGGAGAGAAAGCCACAAGCTGGGCTGGGGTTGTACTGGGGCAGCGTCGGGGCTGGCATTTGATCCAGGGCAACCAGCAGTTATTGAAATATTATTAATTCACGTCTTAAGAGGGCTCACTGTGTGCCCAGCATTCGTAATTGACTTCACAGGTGTCATCTCCTGGAACCGTCATGCCATCCTGTGGGGTAGGTCATTCTTACCCCCGTTTCCGGCTGGGTAAACCGAGGCATGGAGAGGTTAAGCAGGCTAACCCAAGGTCGCACAGCCGATGGGATGCAGAGCAGGATTTGGGCCCAGGCAGTCTTGATTCCAACGCAGCAGGAGGTGAGACCGTGTCTTCATAACAAACGGCCTGAATGCATGGCTCCGGAGGATCCTCTGAACACCGCTCTGACCCCTACAACCTTTCCTCTCCTCTTTATAGAGCGTCAGGTTCCTCCCATTATGGGGCATTCAGGCCCTTTGTTATGGAGACAGACAGGCCTCTGTATGTCAGCTTCTCTTAGGAAATACAGTGACGCGGGAAGAGCTCTGTGTTTGGAGCCAGGAAGATTGGATTCAAACCCCAGATTTCGCTTTTGCTTTAATAGCTATATGACCTTAGAGAATCCCTTCACCTCTCTGGGTTCCTGTCCTTTTCCCAGGGAATCATAAAAAATAACGTGTCTTCCTCAAGATCACTGAAAGGATGAAAGGAGGCATGAACTCACAATGACATTAATAACAGAGGTTAAATATCGAGTGTCTAAGATATGGACTGAATGTTAGTGTTCTCCCCCAAATTCGTATGTGAGAATGCTCACCCCCAGTTTGGCAGTGCTAGGAGGTGGGGCCTCTGGGAGGTGCTTAGGTCCCGAAGGGTGGAGCCTCAGGAATGGGATTAGTGCCCTTAAAAAAGGGGACCCAGAGAGCTCTCTAGCCCTCTCTCCACTCGGAGGACACAAGGAGAAGTTGGTGGTCTGCAACCTGGGAGAGAGTTCTCACCAGAACCCGACCAGGTTGGCACCCTGATCTCGGACTTGCAGCCTCCAGAATGGGGAGGGGAGAGGGAATAAATGTCTGTTGCTTCTGAGCCACCCAGTTGCTTTGTTATACAGCTGGGACTGACTGGGACAATCTGTTCTTTCCCAAGTGTTTTAAGCCACCAGCACCGCTGTTAAATGCCTTCTTTTGCTAGCCCATTTCACAGGCACAGCATCTGAGACAGTTTGCACAGCTAGTGAGAGGGAAAGCCGAGACTGGCATTTGGGAATCGGGGTCCTGGTTCTGAACTGTGCTCGGAACCAGGACAGCAGCGGGTGGGTCGTAGGTGCTCCACAGCGGCTGGCTGGTTCTAGTTGGTTCTGAAATGCCCTGGGTCTGGGCGCTTGCTGTGCTCTCAGCCAGTTAAGATGGTACCTTGTTGGGTCTCCAAGAGGAAACAGTCTCCTAGTAGTCTGTATGCAGATTGTGTTTAGTAAATTTGTTATTTTGAAATAATTTTAGATTTCCTGGAAAGTTGGAAAGACAGGTCCCCTTTTCCTTCATTTAGCTTCTCCTGGTATTAACATCTTGTGTAAGCAGGTGCATTTGCCAAGACTGAGAAGCTGACATTATTGGTACTATACTGCTAAACCGACTCCAGACTTCATATTCAGAGTTCAGTTTTCCCACTTTTGTTCTAGAATACAGTCTAATCCAGCACACCACATTGCATTTAGCCTGAATGCAGTTTTAATTCCATTTACTTCCCCCCAAATTACAAAAAAAAAAAAAAAGAGTTTGAAGGTAGTTTCAAAACACAGAGTAAAGATGCTTTTTTTTTTTTTTTAAATGAGAAAATTGGGAGGAAGAACAAGGGGGGCAGAGGGAAGAGATAAAGCCGGAGTGAGAATCTTTCCAGAACACTTTGCGATGTGGATTGCAAACCCAGCCACAGGCAGGACACAGCTGGCTCTGAGCTTCCTGGCAGCCGCCACAAAGAGGGCAGCAGGGGAGACACATTTGTAAGATGAAAACAAACCAGCTGTGCTTGAGAAGTCTGGTTATTCCTCGTCCCGAGGCCGGAGAGCGGTTTCCCCAGGCCCCTCTGAGGGAGGACGTTGTGTGATGACATAAGCAGTGTCCTCAGTGACAGGAGACACACGAAGGGGTCCCCTGCTGTGTTGGTGATGGATGCGTTCTGATGGAAGCCTTGTTAAGGAAGAGGGAGGGAGTGTGCAGGAGGGGACCGTGCCTGGCTCAAGGATGCCCATGGCCCGTTGCTCACTGGGAAGCACAGGCTGCAGGATCACACATCCAACAGGACCTCACGCGTATGAAACACGGACGTAAAAATGCGCAGAGAAGCATCTACCGACCTCTTCCCACATGTCAGCAGCGGTGATCTGGCCGAGAAGAGATTATGGATGATTCTCCCTCTTCTTTATGTCCGTGCGCAGTGTCTGAACGGAGTATTTTATAATCATGTGAACGGCTTCAGTAAGGTGATTTCCATTTTGAAACAAGGCAGAGGAAAAGTATCCCCTACAAGTGTTCTGGCCACGTCAGTTGCTTCTCAGTTGCAGGCCATCGAAGGCTTTATTTGCTCCTAAAACGCCCGCCTTCAGTAGCGGATTTCCATCTTCAGTGTCCACCCCAGGAAAGCACTCCGAGTTCCCTGCCGGTATTTTCCTTTGCCCTCCACGGTCCCTGGGATATGCAAGCGCCTGCCTACACCCACTCGGGCATCCGGGACTGATTAGTTCCATGTATTGTCACTGCAGTTTTCAGTAGAATTAGGCATATTGAGTGGAATAAAGGGGCTTGGTGTGTGGGCGGTGGAGCCAAGAACAGGCTTTCTTTGTAAACAAGACTCCTTGCTGCCCTGCAGAGCTTTCCCGGGAGCAAGTGCTGCCTTCTGCCTGCCCCCCAGCGCTCACTTAGCTCCTTGGGGCCTTGCGGGTCCAGGGAAAGGGCAAGTCCCCTGCTGGGAAGGAGAGCTCCTAGGAGGGGGCAGGCACCTCCCAGCGTGTGCCCTGGGCGCAGCCCTGGGACCTGGAGCTCTCCCACCCTCCCGGTAGGGGCTGGCTCTCCTCCCGCACTTATTCCTTCAGCCTCTCTTATTCCTGTGCACCTTCCCCTACAGCTTCAAACCCCACCGAAGAATGGGCCATAAAACCTTGTTTGTTCCTTTAAGGACAGCCAAGATCGACTAGCATTTAAAAAGAATAATGATGAGAGCAGTTGCTCTTTATTAACCAGCTATTATGGACCAAGTGCTGTGCCAAACGCTTTAGATACACTCTTATTTATTCCTCCCAATAGCCCTTTGGCGGGCGTTAATAGCACCGTTTAATAGGTGAGCAGTTGAGGCTCAGAGAGGGGCAGTGACTTGCTCAGGATCGAGGGCCTAGCCCTTCAGGCCCTTTAAAGGCCACCTGCTTTCTTCTGTCACCTCCTTAGTACCCCAATTTGACCAAATATCAAGAGACTGCAAAGAGAGGAAATAAAGGACATTTAGTCCTAAACGTCAGCAAGCAAGCTTCGGAAGCCCAGTGTGGCCCTCCCAGATCCTGCCTGGCCCCACGACCTGCACCCCTGAGGCCATCTCAGGGTGGGAGGCCCATTTGGTTTCTGCAGGTATCAGTGTGGACTCCTTTACATACAAGAAAAAGTATGTGTGTATACATACACAGGTATATATGTAAATAGAGATGTGTGTACCCATGAGCTACTATATATACATACAGTTCCTCTGGGAGGGGAGCACCCAAGGCTGTTCCTTTCGGTTCCTCGCTGGCGCGCCAGCCCCGGCCCCACAGAGCCGGCTCGGGAGGAATCGTGGCACAGCAGCCCCTGATTGCTTTGGGGACTTGGAAATCCCCTGGCTCTTTAAGCAAGAGGTGGGTAATAACTTACATGTTATTGAGCTCCAGCTTAGAGGACGGGCTGCCTCTCCCAGAGTGCAGGGGCCACCTGCGCTCCCGGGGAGGGGCCACGAGCCCTGAATCTCAGAGACGGCATCTTGCTTCCCTTCCCAGGGATTGTGGAGGCGAGGCTGTGCTGCAGGTAGATTCCAGGCTCTCGACTACTAATGTTTATAATAATAACTAGAGGCCCGGTGCATGATATTCGTGCACTTGCGGGGGTGGGGGGAGGGTCCCTCAGCCCAGCCCAGCCTGTGCCCCCTCACAGTCTGGGACCCCTTGGGGGATGTCCGGCTGCTGGCTGCAGTTGGACATCCCCTGAGGAGTCCTTAGCGCTGCTGTGGAGGCGGGAGAGGCTGCCGTCACCGCCGCTGCACTGGCCAGCTGTGAACCCGGCTTCACCTCCTCATTGAGCATCTGCCCCCTGGTGGTCAGTGCGCATCATAGCAACCGGTCATTCCACTGTCTTGTCGATTTGCATATTAGCCTTTTATTATATAGGATAATATTCTGTATATGTAAAAGCCTAAGCAACCGTTATAACCGGACAACAGCTATGACATGCACTAACCACCAGGGGGCAGACGCTCAATGCAGGAGCTGCCCCCTGGTGGTCAGTGCGCTCCCACGGCCAACCTCCCACGTTCCCTCCCCCAGGCCGGCCGGTCCCCATCGGCCTTGATCAGCCCCGATCGGGACTGGATGAGATGCCCTGATTGGCC